TAGAACAACTGCTCCATGCAATGGAGAAGCAATTCTTCAGTCCCTGTTTCTTTAAACCAATTTCCCATTATGCCAAAAATAGGGGGATATGGTTTAATGCATATTATTAATCAAGAGGCCAGTAAACAAAACAACTTTATACCACAGTTCCCCAGCTCAGTAATAATAAACGTGGTGATATGGATCAAAGCTGGTACAAAGGGCAGAAAAGTGGGGGGCATATGTGGGACCAAAACTTATTCCTAGCTTAATAAACTATGCTGTGTTAAGTTGAAAATGTTACATTTAAACCAGCCACTAGTCGCTGCCTATAAGACCCACAATCATGAAATATAATTGCTTAAATTCTTAACTAGGAAAATAATTTTCAAAAACCAATGGGTCAGAAACTAAAACTTCAACTGATCTTCCTATTATATTCAAAAAATCCTCCACTCTTTCAAAACTACAAATTTCTAAAGTGTAACATTAAATTGCTAATAGTAGGCTATTCCAATATTACATTAGCTGACTTCCATTCACATAATGGGATTTCCCTTCCCCCTCCTTCAATTCCTTGTGCATGAACCTCAAACATACACAAAAGAGCTCGCCAAACTTCTAGAGGAGATCTGAAGGCATGTAGAGGTGGTGGTAGGGATTATGAATTCATTCAACTGGCAAAACAGTATCTGCCAATGGAATGACACTATTGAATACTACCCCAATAGTGATGATACTTGATGATTAGTCCCATCCTACTCACATGAAATAACTTTATAAACTGTCACTTATACTGTAGATTGATATAATCATGCTATATTCAGTGAGCACTTCTGGATGCTGGGATCAATTAAGGAATCAATTTGTTTGGCAGTCTCTCTCAAACAAACACAAGAAGTGAATTAAAGTAAATGCAAAAACAAGCTGAATTTGCAAAACAGTTAAACATATTAACAAAAAATTCATTGCAGATTATAGAGCAATGCCACAGACAACTGCATTAGTAATCGGTTCCCAACTAATATCATAGGCTAAGTCTGTTGTCTATAAATTAATGTTACCACACTGTCCACAACTTTCTCCATTTGTACAAAGTGTCCACAGTTGTTAATACATAAAGGGTTATCATTTTGCTTCCAACTAAAAATCAAATCAAAGTTTCCAAAGCACTTTGTAAATCCAGGTTGAAGATATCTGTACCACTCTGAGATAAGAGTACACCATCTAGATGGAACAATCCAGGAGATTCTGGTACAAGTAAATCATGTTTGATCACAGCCCCTCCAATATACTGCACAAAATAGCCAATTTCCTGATTGATTCTTCTCCTGCTTTTCTCCATCACTTTATGGGGTACCTCTTGATTCCATACTTTCCGGGGTACAATATTAGACCAGACTGGAATGCTATTCTTGAATATTTGCTTAAGATGTCCTAAATCTTTCTTCATTCGGTTTATGATATCCACATTCCTGGCTGTCCCCAGGTCATTGCCTCCTAGATGGACCACCAATATATCAGGATCTGTTAGCCTCCGTCGTGTATGCAGCAGGGTGGGTATTAACTGATCCCACATCATTCCACTCTTTCCTAGCCAATGTAATTTGGCATCCTCCAGTCGAATTCCCAATTGTGGACCAAAGCTTCTTTCAAGTGCCCGTTTTTCTGCCCAGAAAACATAAGAATGACCACAAATCCATACCTGTTTCTGCTTTCTTCTGCCATCTGCTATTAAGAGAACAAACATACATTAATCCTTCATAAACTTTGTGGTCCAAGCACTTTCTGAAAACTCTACCCAGAGTAGTTTTATTCTGTATTACTCCATGTAAAAACAATCAAAACATTAGACATAAAATACATGAGAATCTTCCACTTGGCCAATTTTTGATTTGAATACTACTTCAAAAAACTGTTAATATGTTGGTGTATGCAGTTTACAGAAAAATGGTTGTATCTAAATTATATAACAACAAAAAGAAAACCTCACTTACCCCCGTTCCCCCACTTGTTATTTTCCAAAGCAACTCAGAAATATCTTTGCTGAATGAAGATGCTAGTACACATTTAGCTCTTGAGAGAGCAGTTAAGATTGTTAACTTTCAACACTCAGAATGACCAATTAGTGATAGACTGAACCTAGACATATTCTACTAGATTTTTTTCTCCAAAACAACTAGATATCAATAGATACAAGAAAGTTTATAATTTTCAAGACCAAAGAACACAGAAAGCAACTGAATGCCAGAGGTAATTGAGGTCATCAAGCATGGCAAACAGTAATTGGGAAAGCAGTGCAAATAAAAATGCTTTTCTTTATTATATCCATTATGGACCTGTATCTATGAAGCCCTTTCACAACTTTCCCAAGGGGGAATCAATATTTTTGTTGCTGAATTACATCTAAATGTTTAAATTTTTGAACTTTTTGAAACAAAATACAAAAATGTGTGAAGACAGTACAGATTGCCCGTTATGATTTTGACTCTCCCAAGACTCCTCTTCTTGAACTACCTGGTACGAGCTCAGGGATGTCTCTGCATTTCACTAGGCTTCTTGTCCTCGGGAATATTCAGTGAACATGCTGAAGTCACTCAGTAAGAAATAGCACAGGATTTCATGATTTGGGAGAACCTGTCCCAACTAATAACTGATCCCATACATGGAAGAGGATGCGCTCTTGATTTGGCATTCAGTTCAAGAAGAGTTGGTAATATGAGGTTCAAAGAGCTCTGTATGAAGTGTTCATAGAAGATTATGAATCTCTGCAGGTATGACAGGTTACAAGTGTCTATTCCAGGCAGTTAATAGATCTGAATGGCTGCATAAACACACTTGTTTTTTTTTCCGAGTCTGTGAACATGACTGTCAAAATAGTCCTGCTTGATCTGTAGAATACAAAAAAATCCCAGGCAGCGGACACTGTTGCTTCATAGCATACTTTTCTCTCTTGCAGACTCCTGATTAAGTAGAGGGATGAAAATGATGAAGTAGGAGGGATGACACCTTGAACACAAATAAAGGAATCTCAGGAAGATCAGACTGAGCAGGTACTAGCACCTATTTGGATTCTGTAAGGTGAAGGCAGCAAGGAATCTTATTTTCGTATTCATATTGTGCCAGATCCAGATAAGCTGGTGTTGCTTTTCCATACTGAATAGCATCTTCTTCTATAGTATGCTGGAGAGGAATAGCTGGACTATGAACAATTTGCAGCAGCAGATAAAGTTCATTATTCATTGTAGATCTTGAAGATGTGAATGCTATCAACTTTCACTTGATCCACTGCTAATTAAAGTAGCCAAGGTGTGACTACCCTCATGCTTAAACACAGAGGCAATTATAAGAATTTTTTTAATTAAAAAAAATCCTAAACTCAAAAGATTTGTGTAATTACAAGCCAGTATCAAATATACAATTTTTTTAGCCGAAGTTATCATGAAGATGGTGACCTTATAAATAGAGCCTCTGGCAGATACTGATTAACCTGAACAATTTCAAGGGTTGGACTAACTCTCCAATAGTCTTTAAGAAAGTTCCACTTAAAGATATTTTTTTGAGACACCAGTGAGTTCAGAACACAGGAGAGAGCCTTCTCCATGTTGTTCCCAAGTTATGGAATACACTGCCTTGGGCACCGTATTTAGTTCCTTCTATCCTAGCTTAAGATTTACTTTTTTGAAATTTTATTATTTTAATATTAGGCATTTAATTAAGCCTTAATTGTTTTCTTTTTGAATATTTTTCTGCATTAGCTGCCTTAATAATCTTGGCTGGATAGGAAAAAGGGGTATAAATATATTTTTGCCTTTCAAACTTACATAATGTTGTTGGACAAAATATGATTACAAGACAGACAACTTGTCCTGGGCTGCTCTCTGTGCTAAATGATGCTGTGCCTTCTAAACAACCTTTTGGGTTCCAAGATTTTTGTTTACTTATTGGGAAGGCAAAGTCCCAATACAGAACTACAACATAAAAGCCAAGGCGTGGTCATAGCTTTCAAATTTCTAGGACTTTTTAAAACTGGACTTTACTGTAAATGCAGTATTTAGCCCAAAGCAGATAAGGAATTTTTCAGTGTGTATAATATAAAAAACAGCTGCTGATCTAAATTTTTATCTGATAGAAAATAAACTTTACATACAATAGTCATACATTTATTGTGTATCTACCCATGAAAACTGGACATTTGTGCTACTTCTAACATGATGTATCTGCTCAATGATACACAAAAAATATAGACCTGGAGGCCTGAAAATGTATTGGAGAACATATTGAGGATACCTAACTTAACTCCAGCAAAGCACATTCAAGCAAATTTTCAGCAGTATGGACTCTATAATGATCAAGGTTTCCTATGTTTATCTGTAATTATACTCTACTATATTCAGCTGCAGCATCACTATTTGCATTGCAGTTATTACACTCTGGGTATTCCTGTGTATTTGTCAGCATGTTAAAACTTCTCCCAAATTCTAAATGCTCAAAACTAAGTTTAGTTGCCCAGAATAAGATTAGAGAATAAAACAATTATGTAGGTTTGTTCTATTTGCTTTTCAGCTTTAATTAATTTTTGACTTGCTAACACCACATTTTCAAACACATACAAAATTTTATCACATAGAACAATAAAATAAAAATAAAGCCCCTTCATGAGCAAAAGAACAGAAGTCATTCATTGTTCTGTAAATCAAATATTGGAGGAAAAACAATACATGTAACATTTCAGTTAATAAAATACCAAACACTGCTTTTATTATAACACTCTTTTGTTACTATAATCAAATTAATAAGCCTTTTGATTTGTACATCTGTAGCTGTAAATCTCATTCTCCACCTCTGAAATTGCTCTATTGAAATTACTCACCCACAGTAGTTACAGGAGGCTGAGAAGGATAGTGTTGTGTGCTAGTTGTTGCTGGAAATGGCCCACTAGGTGCAGGATATGAATAGCCCGAATAACCACTTGAACAGGAAATGAAAGGGAAGACAAAATAGTGTTATTCAGGCTTAATGTATTCATCTATGATCAGATTACAATTCAAACTAGTGATAAATTCATTGTCGTTTATAGGTTCCAACAGTACAGCATGTTATTTCCATATTTAAAAGTTAATACTACATTTTCAAATTCCTGCTCAAAACATTTTAGGGGAAGACACCCAACCCAGCTATTCAAGGCTTATTCTACTAATAATGGTTTTCATTCTGCTCTGTTATTTTCATGAAAAGAAGATTATGTAACCTCTTAAATTATGACATGGACACCAAGCAGGCTCCTATACCTCCCAGAAAATAAATGTGAAACGAATTCTACAAATTATATTTCTCATTAAATTGTGCTCTCCTTATTTCCTTATTTCCCATCCTGTACACTGCCTTCCACAGCCTTTTTGCATTAAATATTTCACATACAGATGGTAAAAATGAGTTATTACTCCTTAACAGAAAAGTACACAGAAGAATGCTACAGGACAAAGAAAACCAATAAACTGAGTATGTTGCAGGGTTTCCTTCGAGACTATATCTACTGAGAAGAACTCTACCAATTCATTTAATAGTGCTGCCATTAATTAATACTTAAAATTAGAGAATATTCAAATGAATACAAATAATGCAGCCCTTAGCTTTCCTCAAAAATACTTTAAATTAGCCTTGCAAACTGTAGTTCTCTGGATGTTGCTGAACTATAATGCTGAGCAACGTGAGCCAGCATGATCAATAGTGAAAAATGCTGTAATTTTACCACAAGGCCACAAATTCCAGTCCTCCCTTATACATTTGAAAAATTCATAAGGAAAGGAAAAGCCTTGCACTTCCCAGTATCATTGCCTGTGTTGTCCACTGCTGACTCTATCCCTAGACCTACATGTGAGGTCTGGTCATATATAGGAACCTCATTTGCCTTCATGGTGTATACAAATGGACTGCATTTGCATATTAGTGTGGCATACCAGTAAGAACTTGGACAAGGATCTGTTACAGAGCATACTCATTTGAGACTTGTGCAATATATATATATATATATACACACACACATACACACACACACATGTGTGTGTGTGTGTGTGCGTGTGTGTGTGTGTGTGAGAGAGAGAGAGAGAGAGAGAGAATTGAACACATACATAAATCTTGTGACACTGAACCATATATGCCTAAGGAAAATCTGGCACCCCTCCAAATATCAGATACACACACACATACACACACACACATGTGTGTGTGTGTATGTGTGTGTGTAACACACATGTGTGTGTGTGTGTGTGCGTGTGTGTGTGTGTGTGAGAGAGAGAGAGAGAGAGAGAGAGAGAGAATTGAACACATACATAAATCTTGTGACACTGAACCATATATGCCTAAGGAAAATCTGGCACCCCTCCAAATATCAGACAAAAGTTCTGAAATTTTCTTGAGAAAACTGAAGCAAGTTCAAAACATACATTGGGGAATGATAATCAAACATTAAACTGATAATGTGAATAGATCAGGGGGAATAAGGATCACATATAAAACACACTAATCATGAAAGGTGGTAATGCAGATCCAGTGAAAATAATGTATTTGTTAGAAAGTTTGATTAAAAAATTGCTAGCTAATCTAATGGCTTTTGAAAATGAAATTATAGAAAAGAGAACTGTAAAGACAAGTTTATCCAGCTTTTGTGAAGAGTTGGGAAAAGGGAATGGTAGGTGAGATCTAAAAGAAGAACTGAAAACAAGTTACAATAGTAGGACATAATTAGTACTGTTGAATGTAAGCTTCAAGGTTTGCAGAGACTGGGCTTGTAGTGAAAATGTAAAAAAATACAAATAAAGAAGAAATTAATTGGCTTGTGGACCAATTAGGAGACTAAATGCAGAAGTACCTGTCCTTATTTGTCTTAGATATGATGAAAACTTCTTCAGAAGAAAGGGAGATAGAAGAAAAAGAAAAAGTGGCTTGCTCATTTGAGCACTAAGTATGAAGATCTTTCCTGGTTGGAAAGAATCCTTCCTCAAAAAGAAATGCCACACTGATGCCTCCTGTATGTCTGCTGGTTTCTCTCGCAAATCACTTAGCTATTGCTTAGCAACTATTGAGTATCAGCTGACAAGAATGCACTATTGTATGTCTAGTTACCACAAACCACAGAATGAAATCATGATTTGCAGGTTAATTTAGGATGCAGATGACATGAAAGCTATTTCAAAACCATGCACAACGGATTTGGAAGCCTTCTTTCTCTGAGTAGTTGCAGAAAAAGCTACCAAGTCCAAGTAGATCACCAGCTTGCTGCTTAAACATATTAAGTGTGATATGTAATGGGGTTATAGATTCTCCTACAGACTTTCTACCCAATATGCAAAGTTCTGAAGGTGGAGCTACTGGGAATGAAGTAATACATACAGCTTCCATTCATCTGCTGTGTGTTGCCTGAACAAGCAATGTCTTATTTCTGAAGAAGACTCTTGTCTAAAGGAAATTTAGCAAAACCAAGCTTAAAAACAGGAAGTAACTCAAAGGAAAAAGCTTTGTAAAGTCCATTTGGAAGTGTGCACATTTTAGAAATATGTTAGGTTTAGACTAAGAACAAATTTTACTTTATTTTTTCTTAATATTTCTTTCATATATAAATATGATAAATAATAAATAAATAAATAAATAAATAAGTGCTGACTGAGATTGGGAATTCTTAAATACAAACCCTGTTATGTATGTAATTAAAAACAGCCAAGAAGTTCCCATCAGATTGCCCACACAATACTGAGTAGAATACAAACGTAACATTGTGCTTTAAAAATTCCATCTCAGAAATACCATAACAGAGCATAATCAAGTCACTATGTTTCTTATTACGCAAGTAGATTTATTTTACCTTGGGTTAGGAGGTGGTCCAGGAGGAAAGGGAGAGATTCCACTTGGCATTCCTGGCATATAGGAAGCTGAGCACAAAAGCAATTTTGGAAACTTTATCAATCTGAGATAACTTTACACATCAAAACACTACTTTTACAGTGCAGTAGTTTTTGTATTAATAGCTAATAATCTTAACAATTTGGGGAAGGCCGCTTTGTTATTAAATAAGATTTTAATAACATACAGATAAATGAAAAAAACACAGCCTTATTGAACAAAGTAAGGATAGGCTATAAGCAGTCCATGAATAAAATCCAATTCTTGGATTTTTCTTATCTGGTCCCTAGCAGAACTCCATATGCCTGCAGAACCCATTAACCACTTTTCTGGGTGAAAACAATCATAAAAGCTGATATGAAAAAGCCACAATTACAATCAAGCAACCTAACATTTTGAAATATTCCATTGGTGATGCTACCCTGTCCAAAAACAAATGCTTCAAATGTTTATGGCATACATGGTACCCTCTGACACCTCCCCGGCATCCGTATGACCTTATCTTCAGGTGCAGTTAGTAAGAGCAGGATGCTTGCTGCTAAGCCAAGTACCAATCTCTAGCACCACCTTTACTTATAAGAATGTATCTCAATACCCAAAGGAATTCTGAGAAAATAAAAATGATGTGTGGCTGCAACTCTGTGCTTTACTTGGAAATATGTCCCTCTGCCCAGAAAAAAAAAGTCAAAGGACAAGTAGATAGATATTATCTTAGCAGATTGGAAGGGATAGAAGGGAGTGACTACACTATTGTTTTTTGGGTAGCAATTGTTTTATGAATAGCCTCCTCCAGTTAGGGAGCTATTTTGTATGGGTATTACCCTCATTTTTAAAATTGCAAATATCTCCACCAGCCCGAAAAGATAATCTCTTCTTGACCTATAGCACAAAACCTAGAGCTGCACAAGCAAAAAACTGGTAATATAATGAGGCTTTCCTTTTAATTTTATTCCAATGCACTCCTTAAAATCCACTTTAATATATGGGAAGCTACAATGTTGATGCTGGAAAGAAGCATATGAAACTTAACAGATTAATTAAGTTTAAATAACACCTCCTATATGCCAATTTAACCTACTTAAACTGTATTTTTAATGCTTGTTCATTATACGTTTGTTACTGCACCAACTCTTGTTTTATTTAACATCTAGCCTGAATAAATTTCTGAAGAATTTCAAAGCTTGCTCATTATTTTTCAATATTCCTATAATTTGTAAAGCTTTACTTTTGCATACAAAGTTATTTCTTAATTAGAGAAGTTCAAACTAGTGGTTAATATATACGTACTTGACTGACACCTACTGGCAGAGATAATGAACTCACTATGCATAAAAAAGTGAATATTACTTTTTTTACTCTTGAAGATATTACTGCTGAGAGATCTAACAAAAATAGATTTCTGTTCTATAAAACATATAGAAACATACTTTCCTATGGCAATTAATTTGTATTAAACTACTAAACATATATAATTGAAATAAACCCTACATACCTTACAGTGGAAATTGCAACAAAATCACTAACAGTTATTAAAAAACATGAAACTCACACACTTTGGACATATGATGCAAGTGAATTATGGACTGGAAAAAATTATTCTTGGCAAAGTTGAAGGAAGCATAAGAAAAGGAAGACAATGGATAAAGTAAGGAGGTATATCCACAGCAATGGTCATTGGCTTCAAAATATCAGGCACAATTTGGTGAACAAACCTTGCCTCTTTTTAATCTATGTCGCACATAAAAAGGGGCAGGTCTTTGATCACCTGTTCATACACATCATTTTGAAGCTACTGACCATCACTGCAGAAGTCCATGGAGACAGTTGGGATCAAATTGATCATAAGATTGTTTAGAAGATCTAAAGATGTTACTAAAAAACAAGTTGAGAATTATAAGCATTTGTCCATATGCTCTCCAGGAGTCCAGATTGACACAGTGATATCTAACTAATTAAAATATTATTTCCCTGAATTCTAAGTAGGGAAGGGGGGGTAGGGGATCCTTTATTAATTCAGTACTCAGAAGGCATGTTTATATGACATGGATGAGACCAATTGCTCTCAGTAGCTCCTCTCCAATGCTGCATAGCTGCAAGCTATTCATTCAAGATGTGTTTTAAGTATGTGAGCTCAGTGCAGTGGCTTCTTTTCTGCAAAAGCTGACCCTGTGTTAGCCCTTTGAGGTAGTCAAGACAATAAGCACAAACTGTGAGTATTAAGACTATTTTTATTGTAAGTCTGAAAGTATTTCTCCCCTCCTTTACTTTCACTCTCCAGGAAAACTAGGGACAATCCCTTCTGAAATGCTTCCCATGCCCCCTGTTTCTGTGGGCTGAAATCTTGCAAAATCTTGCAGGATTTTGGCAGATTTGCATGAATCATTTAGCACTTAAAAAAAAAAAACCCATGATCTTTCGATTCAGTTTATGAAAGGTATTGATATCCAGCTGAGACTTCCACTCAAGTTGAAGAAGGTAATTATTATCTTTCTGCTTCCCACTCTGAACCCATCCTTACATCTTGCCTCTGTATTTCCAGAGGACCTTATACTTCCTCTGGAGATGCTTCTGAAAAGGCACAGAGAGCTACAGGAAAAAACAGCATTTACTAGATATAATGTTCACCCCAATTCTTCCAGCAATAACCATATTGTAAGATATTTTTGGAGGGGTTCCACTCACAGGGATGCTGGATCTAAACTTTAAGCAACAAATTTTAAGGCTGTTGGTATCTGGAACAGACTAAATAGATGAATACTGGTAAAATATAAATTAGATTCTCTTAATTGGAGCTTCTGAGGCCAAGAAAGCCAAACAATAATCATAGCAAGCATTTTAGTAACGTATCTTGGCATTCAACTTTTTTAGATAAGTTATATACCTATTGAAAAATTTCCAGAGTTTTACAATACCCTCATCATGCCATGCTGTTTTTAAATACCAACTATTTTAAAATAAAAATTGTTCCAAAAGTCAGTTTCTCCTGAGAGCAAAAATTAAATTTCAATGTTTGCCCAATAGGAACCAAATATATCTAGTATCTTCAATACTGGAAAAATAACCAAAATTATATTATAAATAGAACAAAGAACTTGCTAGGAACATAAGGGTGTTAAACAATCCACTGGAGTTGGGCAGCCAATGAATTTAAATAAATAATTATTATTCCCAAGTTGAGTCCGCAGTGATGGATAATCAACATCAATTTCTTTCCAACAAATAATTAAAGTTAACAAGGATGCTCAATGATATTCTTGAAGATCGAGAAAATGAAAACCACCATCATCATATGAAAACTGTAACTCTGATAGAAAAATCCTGTTTGTTTCATATTTATTCCTTTCACAAAAAAAATCACAATTAACAATCTGTTTAAAATATTTGAGTGGAATAAACATAAGCATTGTTCCCAAAATGTATATAAAACTTGATGTAAGAATCATTTTCACCACATTAATTCTTCCTCACAAATTCAGAAATAGTTTCAGCTACCTATTAATATCCTTTTTCATCTGGGTAATGATACAGAAATAACCTTGTCTAATCAACATATTTTCCTGGGAGAATACCCCCTCCCCCCCTGGGGTATTTAACAGATTATGGATAAGAGATAAAGCCTAAATGTTTTCCTACACCCAGCAGGAATTTTTTACCAATTCATGTAATATTTGACTTATTTCAATTTACGGCACACTCAAAATATTTAACATGTAGTTCTATCATTTCTACAGAATTAGATACAGATTTTGATAACCATTAAAGAAACCTAAAATATAATCTGATATAACAGCAGTTTATATTCAAATTTATTTAGACAAATTTCACTGGTTGTCTTATTAGGCATGCCAAGGGTTCCAATACCAAATTAAAAATTAATAGGCATAAAGGGCATGTGCTGCATTGTAATTTAATTATCAGTGAGATAATCCCATTAGTAATCACTTCAACAGAGGGGTTAGAATACTAAATTGTTATTCATTAAATAAATCTTGCTGGAAATCTAAACTTCGGTATTACTTGAACCAAAAACTTAATTTGCACTATGTCAAAGGATATTTCTCCATCTAATTAAACTAAAAATGGTGATTCAAATTTATGAACATACAAAGCTAGCATATCAGCCCAAAGTCTAATGTTATCTGAGGGCTGACTCCCTTTTAAACAACCAGATTGTGTGGGATAGATTACTGAAAAAAATACCTTCTATAAACTTTTCACCAATGTAGCTGTTAAAATCATGGTTTAATAGAGATATCAGCCAAGAACTTGTACAATGGATAGGGTTATCAGACTTTAAAACTACAGCTAAATAAACTTCATAATATGAAGTTGGCACAGTCTTATTTACATAAGATACCCAAAATATCTCCAAAAGTATGACTCTCCAAAAACTATTCTCTCCTCCATTTTCTTATATCACTCTATAATTATTTCATCTGGATTGGGGCCCTATCTGAAATTTATACATGTTAATTGTTTTATAGATTTCCTATAACATCATAGAGGGAGCTAAATCTTCCCTGAAATGAAGATTTCTGGAAGCTCTATTACATTAAAAAAGCATCCATCTGCTCTCTGGCAGAAGCAAGGGGCACTGAGTGTATTGGAAAAGGCTGATACATAATTTATTACTATCCTAAAATGTAGTGTAATTTTATTACCCTGCTATTTTTATTAATATTTATTTTTTTCTCCCCTATTTTCTTTTTCATTTTAATTTATTTGGGATTTCTTAAAGTTAATTTAGATTATTTATTTAGGGGTTTTTTTCTTTATTAGCATATAGGTTATCATTTTGAAAAAAAAAGTTCGATTCTCTTAAAGTCTGGGCTGGGCAACTGTCAATAACAAGATACAAGCCTGTTATGAATTATCAGCAACATTCTTCTACCCTAATAATAATAATAGCAATAACAATAATACAAAATCACCACCAGTCAGTTGCAAAAAGCAGCTTTATTTGGAACAGCTTATATCCTGCGACAATTATCTTTAACACCATCAAACAACAATATCTACCTATGCCAGGTCCCTGGGAAGGACTTGATAGGATAAAAATACCAAATCCAGTCTAAACATCTGGCTGACTGTGAGACCAATGATGATAATAATAATAATGAATTCACTGGGGGAACTAGGAGAACTAGTCGCACTGACTGACTACAAACAATGGCATGACAAAGTAGCAACAATCGTGCATTAGAATATCTGCAAGAAATACCACTTCCTGCAAGCAAGAACTGGTGGGACCACAAAACAGACAAAGTTATAGAAAATGAAAGAGCTAAAGTGCTCTGGGACTT